TTATTCTTTCTTTTCCCTTTTCCTTGGATAAATGAAAGATCGGTGGTAACATCTTATGTTTTGCGAGTCTAACTAACCAATAACTATGGTCTTTGATTCTTCACTACGACACACTATAATATTCAAATTTTAACCGTCACAATTTAATCATTTATTTATTTTATATCATATTTTAAGATTAAACCAATATAGCCTTAAAATTTGTTAGTTTCTTAGTATAATCATATAATTGTGAGTTACACAATTTATTAGAGTTTTTAACTTTTAATTGTTTATAAAAAAAGAACTATTACATGTAAGTTAACATGTTTATTAAAATAAGATTATAAACTTCTTAAACATTAACTCATAAATTTAACAACCTTAGTTGTTTTTATAGTGACTATTATATCATATAAGTAGCTAGAACAATCTTCATGATTAAATAAATTTAGATTAATTATTTAATTAATCAAATATGGATTGACATAATTAATTATTAATTAATTATATTATGGTTTGTTGTTATTAAACACTAAATAGGTGAATTGTTTTATTGAGTTTTGTGTTTAAATGGACCGTAATGAGTTTGACCATTCAATTAAGCTCAACGAGAGGTCTTTGCCCTCAGCCATGTATCTATTTAAGTGTATCTCTATTAGACAATTAACATACTTTGTTGTGGTTTTCAATAGTTTTAAATCCTAATATTCTTGCGTAGATATACAAAGTTGATTGAAACATTGTCAATTAAAACTACATTATATTTATATCCATTAAGGGTCTATTTGGTTCAATCGAGGGGAGAACAGGGGAGAAGTTTTTATTAAGGAGAGGGGAGGGGAGGAATTTTAATTTCATATATGTTTGGTTCAAAATATGAAAGAGGAGTGGAGGGAAAATATTTTATTTACAAATATGTTTGGTTCACAAGGGGAGGGAAAATATTTTAAAACTAATTTACTTTTTTATCTTTTTATTTTTACCATAAGATTTGTGATATTTACCGTTTATAATTCAAATACAAATTTATTGACGAAATATAAATATTCAATCAGACATCGTCATGAAATATTTTATAAAAACGTAACAATTACAATATATATAATTGGTTAAATTACAGTTTTGTCCCCCTATTATTATAAACAAAAACATTACGATAACTAAAATTAATATTAAAATATGAAAAATAAAACAAAAAATCTAAACAGATATAATGATAGTAATATGAAAATATAAAAATACAAAACATATAAAAAGGAAGATTAAATTTGTTCAAAATAAAACTTTTAACATTGTAATAAGTTAAATTTATATTTAAATAAATAATAAGGATAAATATGTAAATATAATTATAATTAAAATCAAACATCTCCCCTCCCCTCTAAATCCCTTCAAATCGGGGAAGTAAAAAGTGGTTCACAAGGAATTTTGGTCCCCTCCATCTACCTCTCCTCCCCGTCTTAAAATTTGTACCAAACACATAAATTATTAAATATTTCCTTCCCTTGCCTCCATTTACCCCCAACCAAACAGATCCTAAAGGAATTATGATAACTAGACAATTTTAGTTTGTAATTTCAAATTATTTTGTTTTTGATATAAATTTATTTTATAAATGTTAATTATTCTTGAAATTTACTTTTAATTGTCTTTGATAGTTGACATATAAATATGTGATATCAATTATATTATATTGTACGGAGAGAAAATCAATCGAGTGGTTTCAAAATTTTGAGGAAGAAAGATGAAGTCTTCTAAATCAGTACCACTCACTACTAGAGAGTGTAAAACTAGGAGGTAAAATATGTGTAAAGTTTCCTAAATTCTATACTTTTTTAGTAAAATAATTAGCATTAAATATTTTGATAGATTTGACAGAATATTCTTTAATATTGTGATATATTTAATCCTTAAATATAAATTGTTTTATATAGTTTATTTTAATATTATATTATAATAAATTATTTTGATATTTTATGATTTTGAAATAAATTTAAGTTTGATGCATATCCAAAATTTTATTATATAATAAATTCAAAATATCTAAATCATGTAAATATTCTGTTTTGGAATTTAAAATAATTTTATTATCAAATTATATTTTTCTTAATTAGTTACCTTTTCAGTAAAATATGATAATCATCTTGAGTTATTTTTAACGCAATTTAAATTATATTGTTCTTATATTTTGTCAATTTATTAATAGAGTCTTATATTTTAATATAATAATTTATCATCAATTTATGAGTTTTTGAGATAATACTACGCTACTATAAGTTATTAAAGATTCAAAGATTTTATAAAAGAATGGAAGTAAAATTCTTTGAAGTTAGTTGTAATTTGATTATTATTTTTTAACCTCATATTATTTATTATATAATTGCGTATATGGATAAATTTGTTTAAAATATTATTATCCATTCTTTTTTTATGATGGTAACTCATAAAATAATTTATGATTTTAATTTATATGATTGTAGCTCATATATTGTGAGTACAGTTGTATAAATTTTGTTTAATAAATAAATAAGTTATTGTTAATATAATTTGTTGTTAATTGATAAATGTATTTGTAATTTGATATTTATGTTAAATATGATTCGAGTATCCTATCGGTATTAGAATTTTCTAGTGAAATATTTTTTTTGTAAAGTACATTGTTATATTTCTTACTTATTATTTTTATGAGACCTTTATTTTGAGATTTACAATAAATAAAAAATTCTCTTTAAAATATGTAATAATTTTATATTTATTTTATACATTCCAATAATTTATTTTAAAATTTTATTTAAAATGGATTGTAATTCTTCTTGTATTGTGTAAGTGATGTACATATTTTATCGGTGTAACATTATTTAATATGATCAATGTGTGATAGAGAACATCTTTGAGTATTTGTTTACATATTTTAAAAGTCTTAGATTAATAATTCAACTATTTTTCTCTTTCAAAGTGAGAGAATTTAACATGTCAATTATATATAAATGAGAATCAAATATTATTTCTTTAATATAATACTATTTTATTGAGATTTATATTGAGGATATTATAGTCTTGTGTTATTGATTGAAATTTACTCACTACTTATGTTATATCCTCAATATTAGTTAAATTAAAATCTCATATTTTTCCGCTGCGTATAACATATAATTTTTTTTAAATGCGTGTAGTTATATTTGTAGCATTTGAGTTTTGAGTGAGTTATTAAGATGTTGCATATAATCCTATATTCTATTTAAAATTATATGAATTTAATCTCACTCAAATGATGGTAAATATTTTATATAATCATCATACTCTTTTCATGTGAAATTATTTAAATAATGACATATTTTATTACATGCAAAATAAGTAGTTGAGTTTGTAAAACTCTAATGGTGATATTATAGAACAACTTCTCTGTATAGTTTTGCACTAAAAATAAAATTAGTATCCCGTTGTATAATCAGAGTATTTTAATATTAGTGAGCTCTGATAAATCCATATCCTATTAGATCAGTGAGATTACATGTGTACACAATCATATAATCTAAAAAAATTTAGATTATTATTCTCATAGTGTCATATATTCTTGCGTGCACTGTAAATATGACATATTCTAAAAAGATTTCAAAATATGAAATAATTTTAAGAAGTCTTATTTTATTATACTGCGATATATATTATTCTCTTAATCTCAAAAAACATCATAACTTGATGTTTAGCTCAATATTAAAAAGGCACAATAATTCTTTAGCATGCAATAATATTGCGTTAGTCCATCTTCAACAGTCCCTATTTGTCAGATCATAATATGAAAGTACAAGTAAATATCAATACTCCTAACGAGTATGAGATTGTGTTATGAAGGTACTTGTGATTAAATGTAATTATCTCTTAATATGGTATGTCTATATATAATTATTATTCTATGACCTATAATTTAATACTCATTAGTATAATCACTAACCGTAGACTTATACACATGAGTAAGTCTTATGATATTTTGGGTTAGTGAGAGTTTATCAATATCATTTTCATATGCCTGAGCCGTTCTTTATAACATATAACTCTTAACTTAATTATATTACTATAAATTCATCATTCTTTATATAAAGTTTTAAGTTTTAACATGTAGGATTGTCTTCCCTATCGGATACAATTTCTGCAGCGTTAAAATTTACTTGTTTTTTGTTTTATTAGTGTTTTAACCATGACTAATATTCTAATATTAAAGTCAATATTTTTTAATAATTAATTATTATCATTCAAGTGAGAGATTGTTAGATTAATTATTTAATTAATCAAATATGGATTGACACAATTAATTCTTAACTAATTATATTATGGTCTATTGTTATTAAACACTAAATAGATGCATTGTTGTATTTTGTGTCTGAATAGACCGTGATGGGTTGAACCAATCAGTTAAGCTCAATGAGAGGTCCCTATCCTCGGCCATTTAGCTATTTAAGTGTCTCTCCATTAGGCAATTAACATACTTTGAAAACTCTAAATGGCAATGAGGATAGTAATCCTCTCATACTCACTCTTTCGACGACCATCTCTCAAATTCTACAAAATACACCCTTCTTATCATTGTTTAGTATTCTTTAATATAACAATATGCTATAATTTGTATCTATTCAATCAGTATAAACTTCTTAAAGTTTAAATATTAACTCAAAAATTTAACAGCCTTAGTTGTTTTTATAATGACTATTATATCATATAAATAGCTAGAAGAATGTTCATGAATAAATAAATTATCAAACATCTTAATCATTTGTTAGTTGTCATTGTATGAAAAACCTTCTTACCTCGTTCGATAAATATGTTCCATTTTATTTTTAACCATTCAATAGCTCAATAGGTGTTGATAACCTATTATCTACACAATAAGTCAGATAATATATGTTATCTTTTTCATTGTGTAATATATATTATCTAATCAAGCTCTATTATATTTATGATCACTATAAATAATTGCGTATTGTATTCATATTTCATTACAATATATTCTTAATTGATTAATAATGAAAATTAAGCTTTTTATCTTTGTAGTTTTCCTCAGTGCACTAATTAGTAACTCTTTTGCGCAGATTGAGTCATTTAAGGATAGAAGACAATGTATATATCTTAATATAACATAAAATATATCTCTTCTTTTATTATATTTAACTAATAAAAGTTATTTGTTGATTGTCAGTTGGTGCAACTGAAGAATTCAAACCAAAAATTGGAATACATGAACGAGCTGTCTATACTGGTGGCTGGACCAACAAGATACAACGTGGTGGATATGGGAAGGATGTTGGAGGAGCAAAAAAAGGTGGACCAAGTTCTGGTGGATCGGTCCTGGGAGGAGGTGCACAAGGTGTGGGTGAACAAAATGGAGGTGGAAAAGATAAAAAAAGTGAACCAGATGAAAGAGGAAAATTTTAAAAACTAAAAAAATGTTAGAGATGTTGGAGAGATTTGATGTTTAAGAAGGTTACATAAATATCACATAATAATGGTGTGGACAAATATATTTAGAAGTTTGTGGGACGAAAGGGAAATATTTTGCTTTTGTATTATCAAATAAAAGAATTGTGAGTTATAAGAATGTATGAATAAGAGATCGATTTCAATATATTATTATTAGTATAATTTTTTTATATTATTAATTAATTATAATATGTCATTTCTATGACTTTGAAGATATATATAATTAAAGTAAAATATTTTAAATAATCTATAATTATAATTAATTTTGTAAAAAAATTACAAATGTAAATCTTATATATAATATGTATTAATACAATAATATTAATGTGTTTATGATATAATAATATATATTCTATAATGTGTAAGATTGTAAACTTAATGAGTATCAAGACTAGTTTGTTTTAGTGCGAAAAATGTATAATTTTAAGAAAAAGGTGATGATGAGTGTCGATTCAACATTTTGTATTCCTATCAAATGTATGATTTTCTTAGTTATCAGTATAATGAGGTCTTGTCCATCTAAACATTTATATGATACATTATTATGGAATGTGCTTTGTGGTTCACCATCTAAATATTTACGGCTTAGTTCTTTTCCATGGTGTCATCTAAAGTAATCGGAGAAGAATGAGATTGGACCTGTGTCTCTAACAATAAAGCAAGGCGGAAGAAGGTGAAATGGGATACGGAGACTTCGTCCAAGAAGAAGAGTGTTTTGGAGACAATGACGATGTTCTTTATGAAATTCCATGACCATTATAGGGCTAAAGATATGTATAAGTTGTTCGAAGAGTTTGGTAGAATTGACGAGGTCATTATCTCATCGAAGAGGGACAAGAGAGGAAGGAAATACGGTTTTGTGCGTTTCTTTGAGGTTGAAGATGTTGCACCCTAAAATTTGCTCAACCTACTTCACTTGGTTTATGTCTCAATTGCATTGTCATTTGCATAAAAAGTCATGTACATAGTCTAATCATCTGCATAGCATAGCATGGGCAAGTCATCCAACAAGGGACCAAATGCACTTCTTATCTCTATGAGCATATCAAGAGGTTCTTATTCAAATTCAATCTTAGCCAAGTCATCAGAAAGAAATTGAAATCTAAGAAGTCAGTGGATCAAGCAGTGGATCTATCTCCTATCTTGAGGGTATTTGAAGATCATCAAAGAAGTTGTGAGTCATGAATTGAGGCCATGGAGGGTACATAGACATCATGGAGGACCTACAGGGTCATTTTGAAAGTGAGACAAGTCATTGATGTGATTACAAGAGCTGCAGTTGAAGACAGTCAACTAGGGTTTCATCTGGGTCAACCCTGGGTCAACCCTAGGTTAATTGCTTGATTGAAGGTCATCAAGGTCTATTTGAAAGATGTGGGGTTCATCATTTGACATGTAGATATGGATGTGGTTTTGTGCCAAGGAGAAATCAAGAGAAATCAAGAAGAAGAGAAGTTTCTAAATTAGGGTTTCTGTGTAAAATCTCCTGGTTTAGGTCAAACTTCCAAGCAAGATAATTCAAAATTCAAGCTTCAAATGGATCCTTGGCCAACATGAAACTTGTAGAGGATATCAATACCTTTAATTTGAGTGGTGGAATACATCAAGGAGATTTATAGAACTCAAGTTATGGTTCTTGCAAGTTACAGGTCATCAGAGGCATCTGAAATTTTGTCTGTGAAAGTTACTTGACTTCCAAGCAACTTTTACCCCTCAAGGAACTTTCAAATGGATTTCTGGCCAACATGAAAGTTGTTCCTAATGATCTTAGCTTTCTATAAAGGTATGGTATGCCTTCATCTGATTTGTGTAACTCTACTTATGTCCTTGGCAAGCAAAGGGTATTTTGGTCATTTGGAAATTATGGGTCATTTCAAGCATATGCCTAAAACTCATACAAGGAAGCTTCAAATGAAAAACTTCACAACATAAAAGTTGTTCCAAATGACATTTTGAGTCTAGAAAAGTGGTCATGGAAGTTGGAAAATGCTCATAGCTCAAGATTGCAAATTTGGTCAATTAAAAGGGAATTTAATGAATAAAAGTGACTTAAAAAATGAGATTTTGCAATACATGTCCAAATGGGGTGAAATTATAGGTCATTTTGAGAACATTGGCAATAGTGTATTTTTGAGTTTAGTTCAAAATTTGAGAGTTATCATGGCTTGCTTATGATTAAAGTAACATATGCCAAATCACAAGGGATTTGTGTACAAGAAACTTCCAGCAATTTCTAGATGATTCCATGGGCATCTATATAAACCCTAGAGCTGATCCATGAAGGGGTTGCACTTCATTTTGATCCAAAACACATAGTTTCACTTTCTCTTGCATTTTTGCAAATTACATACAAACTCTCTCAATTCATCATCATTCTTCAAAGTTTTGATTTCTTTCTACTCCATGATCATCACTAATCACATCCCAAGCAAGATCTGGTTGAATTGAAGCCCTACTCGTGTGTTGTAATTTTTCACATCAAGTTGCAAGAAGAGTTAGTTACAAGAATTCAGAGCATCTGAGCAAGAACAAGTGCATACAGTATCAAGATCCACCTCCATTGATCAATCCTAGAGCATTGCTAGCTGCGAATCCAAGAACTTCATCATCTATTTTCAATTTTGCACCAGGTTAGTATCTTCTTCGAATTGGCTTGAATTAAGTAGTATGATAGAGAATTGTTAGGTTAGTGATGGTTAGGGTAGTTAGATGATTGATTATAGAGCTTTAGGCAAGTTTTCATGGAGGTTGACATTTGAGCACACCAACTGTTTGGATCTAGAACATAGTGATTAGGAGGTTATAATCTTTGATAATTGGATAGAATTGTTCAGTGTAGTGTGAGGATTGTTTTTGTGCAAAGATTGATAAGGTTGAGGATGCTTGGAATCTGAGTAAATATTGAGGTCTTGATATTGCATCTTTCGGTTTGGATGATGGAGAGGGTTTTGAGGCAAACCACTACCATAGCTGTGTTCTACGCAAGAAATAGGCCAACTTTGGTTCTTGGATCGTGCCAAATGGTGGAGAGACGAGGGAGAAAGAGATGAGGGAAGTCTGGTTCGTAGGAGCTTCGTGCATGGTGTTCATGGTAGAAAACCTAGGTCCTTTGGAGAAGACGAGTTCAACGCCGTTGGATCAGAAATAACTATTGACCAAGACTCACATCTGACGGCTCACATTTAATTGAGAAATGGAGGGAAGCTGAGTTTAATGAAACTTAGCGTTTCATTAATAGTCAGTCTGGGCTTTAATTGAATGATTTTCTTTCAACACCCCCCACGCGAGCCCAACCAAGAATTGAACTAAATCTTGTTACTTTTTGCACCGTCGTTTTCTTTATTTTCTTATGATTTTCGTAGTTAATTCTGATTGTTTACTGGGCTTAGCACCAATTGATAGTCACACCCCACATGAGGCCCATCCTGGATATTACACTGGAAAAAATCACTACCTACACCGCGCGCGTTTTTTTTCTTTTGATTTTCTGATTAATTTTGTTTTAAATCTGGGCCTAGTCATCTTGCTGTTGGCACCCCCTGGATTGGGCCCATCGTTCATTGAACTGGTTTGTCTTACTTACTGCACCCCTAGCTCATTTTACTTCATTTTGATTTCCTTTATTTTTCTTAATTGTTTGAAAATTCATAATAAATTGAAAATTCCATATTTTTGATTGGTTGTTTTTTTGCCATTTTCATATTTCTGTGTAGAAAAATATCATGTAATAAAATTTCCATTTTATTTTCTTTTAATATTTTTTGCATATTTTCTCTTTTAATGTCTTTTTAATACTTTTAGTTTGTACATAAATTTGTAGATTTTCTTTTAGGTATTTCCCACAATCTTTTTAGGCTAATTTTTTTTTAGTATAACTAGATACATATATTAGGTGCCCCCTTGATTTTTATACCAATTTTTTAGGATTTATTTTAGATAGTTTAGTTAGAAAACATTAGGCTAATCATTTAGGGTTGTGAATATAATGTAGGTTTAACAAAACAAGTTTCTTTTGGGTTTTCTTTAGGACAAATTAAATGATGGGACTATAGGGGTATTGAGGGTAAGTAATAGATCCCTTAGAAAATGCTAGGAGTCCCCCTATTCTATTATTACTACTAGTATATTTCTTGCAATTGATTGATTGTGTGGTGTGCCCTCTCTAGGGTTATTTTGTTTGACTGTGTGGGGTATTGGGCCTGCTTGGGGTTTGGGTTTGAGCTGAAGACGTTGTTGATGAAGCCCATTGAAGACAAGGAATGAAGACCAATTTCCAGAGTTAAGGGGGAGTACATCTTGCTGGCAGCTGTTGAAGGTTATAGGGTCTAGGAGCTAGGTAGAGCTCTAGAATAGAAACTTGATTCACAAACATGGAAGGTCTTGTTTGCTTCCATTCTTTCTCTATGATTCAAAGTCTCTTTTAAATACCCACCTCCTTCCTTTGGAAGGATTAGTGAATGTATTTAAAAGATAGAACTTTTGAGAGAAAAATGTCTATATCATGTTAACAGTCAGTAAGCCACCCTTGGTAGGCAACTGATTGCTTAACATCCTATTCATCTTGTTGACTGCTGCTCATCTTGGAGAGTGGGACTTGAAGAAAAGCCATTGAAATATTGAAGATAGAGACCTTGCTTGAAGGCTATGAAGATGAAGACTGATGCTTGCTTGAAGCCTGAAGATGGTTGAAGATGACTTGAAGACAGATGTTGATGAAGACTGTTGTTGGCTGTTTATTCTTGCTGTTTATAATTTTTGATGTATTGTTTGAATTTCCCCGACTGTAATGTTTGCCATTTAATCTGTTAGGTTGAAAGCGAATTTTGTTCGCTTTTGCCTGTTGTTTTCTAGGTTCGAGGTTGAGTGGGATTCCCTTGCCTCGCTTGTATTGCTGCATCCATGCATTTTACTGCTTTATGGTATATATGCTATTGTTTTTGTTTCCGTTTATTCCC